AATTATTAATTAAACTAATTAAGTTTCTTACCCACTTTAAATAATCATATAATTCAAAAAATAAAGTTGAATTTGAGAACCCGGCAGGCTACTGAGAGTATCATGCCCGCATATATGCCTGACTGAGAACATCTGTAAAGGTGATTAGAGGCTGCCGCCAAAGCCTCCGTCCCTCTCAGAGAGCCTGGCAAGCTACTGAGAGTATCCCACCAGCACGGCAGAGCCTGGCAAGCTACCCGTGGTGTACTCGATATGTCAAAAACAGTAACAATGATGGTCCTCATTGCCCTGACCCTGGAAGAGCCCCCAATATGTCATCTGGCTATACTAGCACGTGACAGGGACGAATGGAGATGTTACTGGCGCTCGCTAGAACAAATGGATGAAAACCTGGGTGATAATGATAGTGACTGACAATCTAGATTTACTGGCTGTTCTAATTAGGTTTAGAGATACTGTATAAGTAGTTAAAAACTAGTATAAGAAATAGAATATGAGTAGTATAAAAATTACATTTAAAGACAAAAAAAAAATTAGAACTTTTTCTGTTACCTCTTATCCCAAAGGAGTGAAACCTCCAGGAGGTGGGGCAACAAAGTAATTTTAACTTAACATGTACCTGTCTCGAAGTCTGAGTCATTAAGTGGCAAGAAAGGCTGATGCAACATATATGCTAATCCAAAACTTTCAGAATCACTATCAGAAGAGGGAAATGAGAAACATACCAGGCTAATGTACATCACGGACCTGGGGCCAATTCTTGAACTAATCCACCAAATATATTTATACTTCGGGACACTTGGAAGCTTAAGGCCATCAGAAGTTTACTACCCTTTTAAACCAAAGTCCAAATTTAATCATTTATCCAATAGAGTCAAGAATAAATTGTATATGCATATACCTGTACCATTCTTAGTTTAGATATGAACATATAATAGTTTACAAAACTGACAGAAATCCTTCCCAGGGAGGGATTCAGGGGGAAATATAAGGTGAAACTGAAGGGAAGGTACGTTACCTATGCAATATTTTCCCTGGTATTTAGCCTTTTGGTAAGCAATATATTTCTGCCTAAATACAGATAAGGAGAATAAAGATCCCCTAAAGGATCAGCCAACAAAGAACGAGTAGAGCAGGGGGCAGAGACACAGCTCCGCAGGACAGCACTGCTTTTCATATTTGATTCTCTGGGTTTCATCCCTGGCACCACAGAGTAATAAAAAAGAAAAAAGAAGTCACATTTGGCGTCCCAGAGATGATTCAAAGGGGGGCAGCATATGCATATGCATGTGGGGTCCAAGGTCAATCCCCGGAACTACAATATCCTTGAACATCAAGGCAGACACCAGAGCCCAATCAACTGTCTCTCACTCCCTAAACAAAACAAAACAGCAACAGAGAGTTTTACTTAAGACCTATGTCCAACTTGGCAGACAAAATAAAAATCCATCCTTAATTCTAAGTCTTCTAGTTTTGTTCCAGAGGTAGAAAAATAAACTCTAAGACAACGCTTCACATTCTACTCAGTACACTAATAAAATATTTTATATATCAGGCAAGTTCTTATTTAAGATGTCATTTTAACATTTAAAGTGCTTTGATATCATTATACAGATTTCCAAAGCCATAGCGTGCATATACATCAAGAGTCAACACTAAGGTACATAGTAAACTTTGTATGAGGAAATAAAAAAACACGAATTTATCAGCTCTTGGTAAAATCAGGTACTCGACCAGCTATGTAAAAGGCATACGTAATGCTTATCGGATATCATTATCAATTTCCTACTAGCCACCTTAAGAACAAAACAGTACCCAGGCTAGATAGAAGGCTTAAATGGGTGGGCACACCCTCAGCACCTGGTAATACCCAGCACTGCACAGCGCCCTGGTCACCACTGGGGACAACCCGAGTAAGATGGGTGGGGCCAGATAAACAAATTAGAAAAAGCAATCCAAGTTAAACAACTGTAAAAGATGTTAATATTAACCCAGTATATAAAAGATAATTTCAACATGATAAGTTAATTAAAAAATCCATTTAGTTTTAAATGAATTTAAATCCAGTGTGTATTTTTTATTTGTGGAACATTGGAGCGATAGCACAGGGGGTAGGGCATTTGCCTTGCACGCAGCCAACAAGGCCGACCCGAGTTCGATTCCTCCGCCCCTCTCGGAGAGCCCGGCAAGCTACCGAGAGTATCTCGCCCACACGGCAGAGCCGGGCAAGCCACCCGTGACGTATTCGATATGCCAGACACAGTAACAACAAAGTCTCCAATGGAGACGTTACTGGGCCCACTCGAGCAACTCGATGATCAACGGGAGGGCCTTCACTTTACTTTACTTCAAGTGTTCTATAGTGGCTAGTGACTACAGTAACTATAGCAATGACCATACATTATACTGTTCCACACCAAAGTTTAGACAGTAATTTTTCATAGGAGATAATGTATCTTGTTTATACTGAACCCACTTGGGTAAATTTTATATTTAATGAAATTTACTGTTGAAAAAGTAGATTCATACCTCCAAGTAATGTTTAAACATTATCCAATAAGTGAATCAAGCACAGTTTTTAGTTAAAATGAAATACCATTTAAATTCAATTGCATTAGTCACAGAGGATACAGTATTTGATCGAGCTGCACTGTTTCTGGATAATGTATCAAAGTTTCTAAAATTAAACTTTTTCTATTCCAGTTTCCTTAATTTAAATGAACTTTGGCTGAAAACATGCAAGGAAACATTTCTCTGAAAATTATAAACTTCAAAGTCTACCACAGGGTGCGGGAGCAACATGACAGTGGGCAGGGGGCCTCCTGGCAGAACTGGGCTCAATCCCCAGGACTCTATGACCACACAGGGTTCCCCAAGCCCCAACAGGAGTAAACCCTGAGCACAGAGAGGTGTGATCCCAAAACAAAAACCAAGGTTCGTCAGGTCAGGATTAGAAATAGTTTCTCTGATTCAAGGTAGCCAACAGTTATCAATAATCATAATCCATTATTTGCTCTGCGTGCTAGTCAAAGAAGCAATCTCCAATAAAGAAGAAACTTCCAATTCCCTCACTTTACTGAAAATATTGCCGAACACCGGGTCACCAAGTTAGAAATTTCACCGTCCTGTCACTAAATCCTACCTGACGGGGGCTGGAACCTGAGTACAGCAGGTACGGTGCTTGCCTCGCATGCAGCCCACTGGGGTTTGATCCCTGAGACCCCACTAAAAGCCATCCCTGAGCTCAGAGCCTGGAGTAAGCCCTGCGCATCACGCCAGGTGTGGCCAAAACCCCAAACCAAACAAAATCCTATCTTGTTAGTTATTTAAAGATCCCTGTAAAAATTTTCTTACCTCTATACATTTCCTCCAGCTACTGCTACCTTAGTACTGGTACATACGATTGGGGAACTGAGCTATTTTAAGTCTCTTAAAGTTAATTTTAAATGGAGATATTTTTTACATATGTAAACACACATAACCATCATGTAAATTAAAAGCATAATGGTCAAGTATGCTCAAATTTTCCTGCCCCTCTTTACCTCTACAATCCCCAGAACATCTAGGTTAATGGAATTCTGCCCTTTAAAGCAACAATTTCATATTTAATTTAATATTTATTTATGGGCCGGAACGATAGCATAGCAGGTAGGGCGTCTGCCTTGCACGCGGCGGACCTGGGTTTGATTCCTCCGCCCCTCTGGGAGAGCATGGCAAGTTAACGAGAGTATTCAATATGCTAAAAACAGTAACAACAAGTCTCACAATGGAGACGTTACCAAGTGCCTGCTTCAGCAAATCGATGAACAATGGGAGGACAGTGCTACAGTGCTATTTCTTTATGTCTGACTTGGCTTTCCTTAATTAAACATATCTGTGATGCTCTTCAACATTGTTGCCTGTACTAGATTTCTTATTCATGGAATTTTTTTAATTTATTCATGGAATTTTTTAAAAAATATTTTTTCCCTACACATTTCTTATGGAAGTTGGACTATTTCAAAACCGATGTGCCCTTTTATTCTTTCTGCTGAAAGTTTTAGGTAGCGATCAGTTTGCTGCTACTGTGAAAAAGCTGCCAGCAGGAGTAGTTATAGAGGTTTAAGAATGAAAAGAATCCGCAGTAACGCTCAGTGTGTTAACTCTTTCCTCTCATTAGAGTTACAGTAGAAACTGACGTGGTAAGTGCTACACGACTAGACACAGACATTCAAAATCAAGTCTCAAATTTTAAATAAAAAACATGTCATGTATACCTTCGATCATTACAGATTCAAGATACATGCACAATTAGTTCACATCACATAAACGACCATGAACATTGACACCACATGACTCATGAGATTTGATCCCATCCAATATCACATTTTAGCATCTGCTCTACATTTTCTAATGCATCAAGAAGAGATTAATCTGGGCAATAAAGCAATACAATACATATCAACACCCTATCAATTCCACAAGACAAAGCATATAATACAGGACATATAATACTCAAAACATGTCTCTCGGAGGAGTTACAAAAAGTTGACTAGTATTAATTGGCCATGTAGAAAGTTCAGTACATCGAAGTACAGTTCATTTTTGTAAAATTAGCACCAGCTTATTTCATTAGCATTATTGTTGCTGAATTCAAGTAACAATAGTAGTGCTTAGGTAAGTGCTTAGTGCTTAGGTAAGAATGTATTGAATGTGTGCTATGCCTGCTACATAGAGGAGATATTAAAATGAAACATCTATAATATGCTGAATAGTAACAAAACAGCAATTACTGTATTATAATTAAAAAGTCCTTATCCTGATGCTTGTTAAAGCAAAATAAACTGACAAAGAAAACCAAAGTTACTAATCAGATTCATTATAAAACACATTTCATAGACAGAAAGCCTGAATCAGATTTATACATAAGTTTATTCCTTATGCAAAAAGATCTCTTATACATTTCTCTGTAAATTAACACAAAGCAAAGGTGAACAAACTCTTCACATTTTCCTCCTTACCTCCCATTCTCTGGCTGCTGCTTCGCTTGTAGGATCCTCATTTGTTTCAGACTCTTCCATCTTTTTTACTACTATAAATCCAGGTTCTCTCATATATTCACCAGTGTCTTCTGCATATATTTCTGGACTCCACTGAATGAAGAAGGCATACAAGTGGTCTGTCCTGTTAGAACAAGCGACTATTAAAGACTTTTTTCATTTTACCACATTTTGACCTCATTCAATTAACGATCTATAGAGCAGAAGTAAACAATATATTAACTCCTATATTTTTGCTTGTTTGAGATGCTGGAGATTAAATCCAGAGCTACACTATGGAGGCATATGCCTTACCACTGAGCAATATCCCTAGTTCCAACTTCCATTTTAAATCTGCATATTCTACTGAGCTTTTTCAAAGTAAAAGAACTGTGTTTAACGTAAAGTAGGTGTCTGTGTGTGTGTGTGTGTGTGTCTGTGTGTGTGTGTATAATGGGGAAGAATGTCCTCCCAGAGAATACTCAAGGACCTGGGGTCACTCCTAATGATACTAATACTTAGACCTGATGGTTCAACGTTCAGACTCATGCCAAGCAGTGCTGAGTTTGCTCAGGGCTGGGATGCAAAATATCACTCTAGTCCTTTGACCTAATTCCCTTAATTCTTAAATGTTACTAGGCAAAGTATATCAGTACTTCAGAGAAACAAAATCAGTACTTTAAATATCCTTTAGAAAAGAAGAGAAAAATAAGCAGTGAAGATAATAAGAGGGTTAAGACATGCACCTAGCTTGGGTTCAATCTCTGGATACAATGCCGGGAGCATCACTAGGTCAAATGCAGGAGGTGTCTGAGTTCTCCAGGTGTGGCCATGGTGCTCTCTGAGGACTGCTGGACTCACACTGGTGAGTACTGAGAGCACTGAACATCCAGCACAACTGGCAGAGCATTGCCAAAAGTGGACAAAGGGTATCATGATCATGTTTTAGGAGGTTCTCTCAAAAAAAAAAAAAAGATACCTAGTTTCCATTTCCGCGGTCTTATTTAATAGAGCCTATCGCCTATCATTGCAAATACATAATTAAGACTCTGATAAACATATTTGAAGGTCAACACAAATTTCGAGTAGCTAAGGTCTGTTGGCTTTAATTAGCACTGGTGCCTCTATTTGACCCCGTAGTTCCACTCCTGGGCATCCCACGGTCATCAAATATTCATCCTAAGAACACAGGCACATCTATGTTTATCATCATCATTATTTACAATAACCAAGATCAGGAAGCAACCCAGGTTCCCAACAACAGGTAAGTGGATAAAGAAATTGCGTTACATTTCTTTGGGAAATATACTAATACTGTGAGAAGAGGAAATCTTGCAGTTTTTTGAAACTTGAAATGAAACTGGAGGAAGTCTAGCTAAGTGAAGTGGGTCAAAAAGAAAATGACACAGGTCAACTAGCTGAAAAAATTTCTCAGATATACTGGACCCAGGCAGAGACCTCCCGGGCATCCTCGGGAGAGGAGAGAGCCAAGTCCTGGCCCTGCCGAAACTGGGCAGCCGCATTCACACCCCAACAGCCACACCAGGCCTCGAGTCAGACTCAACCGTCTCACAACTGAGCGCCAAGAGATGACAAACTGCCGAAATTTTCAGGCACATCAGGGTTTTTTGGGGAGCGGGAGAGTTGAGAATTCCGGGCCTTCTCCGGGTGATTGTGGGTGACTTCCTCCAACAGCCCGATAGGACTGGAAGCCCTGGTGGGCACAACCGCATTCCACCACCTCTGCCATGTAAGCTCACTGCCTAGTTTCATACTGATTTTCTAGAGCGACACCTCCAAATTCTACAATACTAACATTCCAGCAGCACATGAGATTGGTTGGGAATGTAAAGTAGAAGTCAAGAAAATTCGATTCACAAAAACATTAACACAGAAGACTCAACTAGCAACAGTTCAGTAAACCCCCTCAGACAAGGACTTAAAGGTCCCCATCGTGAGATAGAGCCAATTTTCACAACTTTTCTTTTACTAAAGTATTTTGTTTGATAATTCCATTAACCATTCAGTGGTAACAAGCAATATAAAACACATTATTTTGGACCTGATGTGGGGGCAGGCTTGAGCTGTGGTTGGGAAAATGGGGACAATGGTGCAGGGAAGGTGACAGTGGAGGTGGTACTGGGGTTGGAATATTAAACATCTGTAACAAATGCGTCATGAACAACTTTGTAAACCATGGTCTTAAATAAAGTGGGGAAAGAAAAGAAAATAACCAACACTAGATGATTTTACTCATCTGTGGACTGTAAACAAAGAAGGGGCTGGACAGTCCCCAGTGGAACCAACCTTAAGATGAACAGAACTACGATCGGGGGGGGGGGGGGGGTAGGGGAGTTGGGGACACGTAGGGGAGAAGGAAATTTGGGCTCATGGTGGAGATGAGGTGAGGCTATGTCCCCTTGTATCATAAAAAGCCTATTTCAAAATTCCTCTGCCACTCTTTTAGTGACAGGGAGAATAATTATGACGCAAAAAACCTCAGTAATGTTGAGAGGCTTTATTTTGCGAATGTGATTTTGTTACTTTACCTTTCTTGAGGCACAGCAAACCAATACTCATGCTTCTTATCTCTCTGTGCATACTGCTGCATTGTTGCGCTTGCCTGAGATACAAATGTTTTCCTCATTGGTTTTCCAACTCTGAGACATAAGAACTTATGTAATCGATGCCTCCTCTTTTCTTTTAAAAGTGCAGGACCTAGAATTGAGATGCAAAGAGCATTTATTCAATCCTCATGCGCCATGCTTAGATCATTTAAATCAGATAATGCGGCCTCCAAATTTCTGGCAATTATAGAGTAAATTACAATTTACTCATCACAAATAGGAATTTAGGAAGATTTTAATTTTTTTCTTCCATCAAGAAGAGTAGTGTCAGGCAGAGTCGAGACTAACAAACTTTTAAGTTATAAACTTAAATTATGCCTAGAAAGATCAAGAGGAACAAACAAAGTGAAACCTTTAGAACATTTTTGTTAAATTGTTAACAATATACTGATTATACATGTATAAGTAAGCTTCACACATTCTCTAGCAGCCTTTTATAATAATACTGAAATAGCTGACAAATTTTAGAGACTGACTTTAATAAGGATTTAAAAAAATATTTTTAGTTTCTTAAATTTTCACATATTCGAGTATGATAAAACAATAAACAAAATGCTAGATTAAGCCATCTGCTTGGGCAGCTTAGTAAGCCTGAATTATCTCGAATTCCTCTGACCAAAGATGCTGCTCTAGGACATATTGAGCATCCAGTAATTAGGGTTTAATTCCAGAATCCAGACAATAACATAAGAAGAGGGCTTGCACAGGAGCGGGGGGCATACGTGACAGTGCTCAGAGGCGACTCCTGACAGTGCTGGGGAAATCATATGCAATGTGGGGGGTGGATTAATTTGGGTGGGTTGCATGCAAGTGCCTTCATCTCTTAACTATCCTCTGTTCTGAAAATGGCATATTGCGGAGCAGAAAGAACATTTCAGTCCGGAGATTAGCACACTAATCAGGCTTTTTTTTTTGTACGGTATCATATAAGGTACAGAACATACTAGCATTTGCTTCTGGTTGAAAGAGGAAAATTTTAACACCCTCCCTATAGTGATATTTCAATATATTATATTGAGATATGATATATTTATTATATTATATAAGTATTATATATTATATAAGTATTATACATTATAGTATCCAAAAGAAATAATATTTTCCTATTATAGAATCCAAATTATTTACAATGAGGAATTTATGACTAATCTCCATTTTTCCAAAGGTAGAAAATGAATGTTAACAATTTAGACATCTATACTATAGCTACTTTTTCTTTTCGGTATTTTGTCATACCAGACCTCTCGCCTATCCCTCAACAAGCCATGAAAGTAAAAATGGTCTACTACATTATTGAAGTCGAGGAAATCCTTAATTTTTACCCTTTTCAGAGATTTCGAGATACAGCACAATCATCAGGCTCAAAGATAGCAAGCAAAGATACCCCGGCATTCTTTACAATTCTTTATAATTTCTTTTTCCTGAAAAGGGACAGGGTAAGCCAAATAGGTTTGAAACCAATATTCAGTCTAATCCTAGCTTCAAAAGACAAAAATAAATCCATGTATATGCACATAAAAACCAGAGATATAAAACAAATAAATTATATTTAACAGCAATCATTTCTAAAAAACATACTTGACAAATATTCCTTAAAAAATCTTCATTAGTCATTTCTGAACAAAGGAAAAAAAATACTCCAGAAGAAATGTTTAACCTTTTTCTAGAAAGTGAAGTTTAGAGATCTCATTTTGATGTCACAAATTAATTTTGAGTATTCTGAAAAAAATTTTTTTATAAGTACAACCATGTGGAAAAGTTCAGTGAATTCTCAAGATAGAAAACTCAAAATCAACATAAAATCCAGAAAATTCACTTTTGGTTCTTTAATTCCCCAAACTTCTGTTTAGTTTTGAGGCGAAAACTGGCTATGTTCCTGAGTCACTCCTGCACATGAGGCACCAGCCTTTACCCTGATAGTATCTATCCCACACCAAGCCCAAAAACTTGAAAGGGAGCAATAAACACATTTTTAAACCAGTATTAACAATCAGCATTATACTTGTAGTAGTCAGTTAAAAAAAAAATCCATCAATTACTGAACAGGTGAATAAAGAGTGATGTAGACGTAGAATATATCCCATATATATGTACACATATATACACATACATACACATATATGAACATATATAAGCATATGTAGTCCTTTCAACTAAATTTTTCAGTTTTATAAAGGAAGGAAAGTCTGGCATATTCAAACAGATAAAACTTGACATAAGGGAAATGCAACAAAAAAAGAACATTGTGTCATTTCATTTACACAAGGTACCTAGGGAATAGTTAAATTCAGTGACAAAAAGTAGAATGATGGCAGCCAGGAGTGGTAATAGAAGTTATTGTTTAATGGCACAGAATCAGTTTTGAAGGATCAAAATGTTTGGAAATAGAAGGTGACAATGGAGGCAAAATACTAATTGCCTGGAAATTTAAACAGAGAGGGTGAAAATGGGAAATTTAATTTTACGCATAATTTAACAATAAAACACTTGAATTAAACAAGAAGGAAAGCTCAGAGGTAATAAACTTAATTAGAGATCAATATTCCAATAGAATATATAAAATTTTAGCTATTATACCTGAGTAACACTCAATATAGCCCTTAATGTATTAAGGAGAAACAGTCTATCGGGAAAAAAAAAAACTACAGTATTTTTCATAAATAATTATAAAAAAGGTTGTTTTAATTTATCCTGAGAGCTGCTTTTCATTTATTTGAGAGGTGGGGGTCTTGGTTTACTCTTGACTGTGCTCAGGTGCGACTCCTTGCTCTGTGCTCTACGATCTCTGCTGGAGGGGCTTAGAAGATCACACGGGGAGACAGGGATCAAGCCCGGTGGATCAAGGCGGGCACCTTCCCCTCTCGACTATCTCTCCAACACTGACTGCTGCTCTTTACAGGAAAACATTCAATCACATGATGATGCAACTTCGTGACATTTTGCAGAATTATCAAAGCACATTATTGCTTCAAACTCAACTTTTGAAAAAGGAATTATATCTTTGATAATTACAGACTGAAATGATGGTATTATGTGTGCAATCAAAAAAGAGGCCTTTTAATTAGGTAAATTAAAAGGAAAAGAAAATTGATAAACAGGAATTACGAAGCTTGTAGGCACTCCTGAGACTGCATCATATGAAGACAGAATGCAGTGACTCAGAGACACTGAAACACGATGGACGGGATACCCGGGGAATGCACAGTTCATGATGAGACGGGAGGAAGGGGCCGAGGAAACCAGAGACCACACGGCAATCAGGGCCACTGACCGGTGCTTTGGAGAGGCCCAGCAGGTCGAGCCGCTTCGAGACAGACAGACAGACACCAGAAGACAAACCCATTTTCTGAACCGCTTACCTTCTTTGTCGGCAAACGCTACTTTAGGCTTCGTCTCCTTCTGTGTAACCTGCTGCATATTTTCCCGTTGCTGCTTCGTCTGCTGCATGGTATGGGTTTTCCAGAGCTTCCGCAGCTCCTCCACCTCCGTCTCTGAGTCCTGGTTTTGTTCCTTGCCCTGTTTTCCTTTGTTGGCGGTGGCTGGCTTTTGTCTGAATTCTGCGTGCTCCCCACAAGGCCCGCTTTCTTTGTCCCCCTCATCTGGGTATACTGCATCCCCATGGTGAAGACCATCCTGGTCGGCCTTGCCTTTTGCACTGGGACTTTTCTGTTCACTGGGGCTCGGGGAGTCGGGGCCAGGACCTGCAGCCTGATCTTCCTCCGAGCCCACTGCAAGGTTGCTGGCATCCGTTTTGTGAGAGAGAGTCCCAGCTTCATTTGGAGACTGTCCAGAGGAGGATTTTAAAGGCTCGGGAGTACCAGGAGCCCCCGAGCTGCCTGTCAAACACTCCCCTCCACTCAGAACAACCGTTTTCACAGACTCTGACGACGCCCCCGATGATTTACCCCGACAGAGCTCATCGGAAGAGACGAGCTCCTCTCGGATGGGGGAGAGTTCTGATTCCGTGAAGACGTCTTCAGAAAAAGACTCCTCGGTGCTCCTGGGTGCCGTGCTGGCACTATCGTTGCCAGCATCTCGGGTTCTTGTATCGAGTTCATCAGCATTGCTTCTGGCTGTTTTCTTAAAATGGCAGACGTCCCTTCCTGATAACTGATCCAGCTCTCTGTCAGTAAACGAGATTAAAAAGTGTGAGACTCTTAAATTGCAGTATTTTCTAAAGAATCAACACCAAGTGAGTTTAGAGGACTAAGACTTTTGCAGAAGGAGATAACATTCATCTTTTTAACACATCAAAGATATGATTAATTCATGGAGATCAAGTAATTAAGTCGAGTTTTCGCATCACTTGCTTAAGATACGGGATACATCCATATAAGATTTCCTGAAGTAATGGACTTGAACAGAAGTTGATGATTAAAGTTTTAGGTGAAACTGTGATTTATAACTAGAAAAGATTTAATTTTGAAATATGGAAAATAAGCTTAGGAAAAAGTTCAATTAAAATGTAAATGTCTTAAGTACAGAGATATTATACATGGCTGGGTATGTGCATGAAAACACATCCATACACACACACACCAATCTCGCTCTTACATTTATAAATGAAACTAAAACGTGACTCTACTGCTGAAACCAACTTCAACAGAATGCAGGTAAAAGAACTGCAAAGAATTCTTCAGGATACCAGTAAAAGCTTTTTATAATAGCATTAAGGAGAACTAGCAGGCTATAGGTTTTATTTTAGATATCTGTAGGGTTCAGAGTTATTCTAATGTCAAATGACATTATATATGTAAGAACTAAGGTTTAAAAGTTAGATCAAATTTTAAAAAGAGGTGGCATATACATTTGGTACGTAAAATATAATCAGCAGTTTTAAGTGACGGCTAAAAATGCATGATTATTGGAAGCTGCATGAAATCTTAGTGGAAAAGGTTTATCATTTATGTAAGTTGGAGAATAAAAGAGTAAAATTTATGCTGACATTTAAAAAAAGCAGCCTCCACATTTTGAAGCAGGACAACTTTCTTCTCTTATCCTACTTTCTTGTGTTCTTAAAGTCTTTTCATGAGTATGTATAATTTTTATGACCAGGCTTGAAAAGACTTTTAATCATCAATTTACTGAAGTCTAATTTGTGCCTCCCTTGCTTTTTAAAATTTAAGAGAAACAAGCCTTTAATTTGTGCTATTGGATATGTAATGGTGTCATCTACTGGCGATTTGCTCAAACTGCATATAGAGCGAGTGGCAGTTTCGAACTTAGAACCTGGACATAGTTTTAAGAAACTCTCTGAATATTAAATAAGAAACAGTAAGAGGTAAACCACCAAACCCATTAGGACATATATTTAGATAACTACTGCATCTTTCAAAATTAATACATTAAAAGAAATTAAACCACTTCTATCAGTGAAACTGCTCCTGTTTCATAGTTTAAGAAGAACACTTTTAAAAATCAACTCCTTCAGCCTTTAAAACAAAAGAAAATAAAGTAAAAGTAAAGTAAAGGCCCTCCCGTTGATCATCGATTTGCTCGAGCGGGCCCAGTAACATCTCCATTGGAGACTTTGTTGTTACTGTGTTTGGCATATCGAATACTCTCAGTAGCTTGCCGGGCTCTCCGAGAGGGGCGGAGGAATCGAACTCGGGTCGGCCATGTTGGCTGCGTGCAAGGCAGACGCCCTACCCGCTGTGCTATCGCTCCAGCCCCTGGAGAAATAAAAAGAAAATAAAAGAAAATAAAACCAATAAAAAATGTTTTTGTCCTTTGTTTTTTGGAGTGGGGGGTCGTGTGAATATTCAGGGTTCACAGGACTTACTCCTGGCTCTGTGTTCAGGGATCACACCAGGCGGGACTGGGAACTATAAGAAGACTTGGGTAGGCCACATGCAAGGCAAGCAGCCTGCCCACTTACTATCTCTCTCTTTCTGGCCGCCAAAACTATCAAACAACAAACACATACTTTGGGAATTTATGGCGCTACTTTGCAAAACCACATGCTTTCTTAATTCATTGGTAAATAGGTTTTGTTTGTTTTTATCCATTCATGAGGGAAGACTTAGAAGATATTTACTTTTGAAAGGCTTAAAAATGTTTGTATTCAAACGCATGGTCTTTCCAGATGACATTCTAAATGATAAAAGAGTGATCTGCAAAAGGAGAGGCCCTTCGCACTCCATCCTTGTTGAACAGTTATAGCTCATCCGGTGCAAGAAAAACCATATATATATATAAAATATATAAATATATATTTTAATATATTTTATATTATATTTATATATTTTATATTATAAAACCTATATATCATAAAATATATATTTTATAATACAGAGAAACAGGGCAGGAGAAGGTGACTCTTACCAATGACTATATATACACAGAAGTAAAAATCTCATTTCTCTTTTAATTGAATATTTCACTTCTTCACCTATGTCTCTTCCTCAACCCACTGCAATAACACTTCACTTACTGAAATGAACTATGGATGTTTATCTATAAAAACGGTATATCCTAGGAATTATCTGTATCACTAAAGATGAGCTTATCAAGTCAAAATAATATTGATTAGGTAGAAGGTACAATGTACTTTTGGAATGGGAGATTTTATTCTAACATAGGTATCCTAAAGCCTAAAATGGCTGTCTTTTACAGATGGAAATCATTTGTCTCTCTTCTCCTTTAGAAGAAGTCTTTGCCACAAGCGTTCCTTTTAAGTCATCACTATCACTTAGGGTCTATATGTATCTTCCTAAGCGGGACACAGTCTCTATCAGTGGGAGTGAAGCCACCGTTTAAGTGGAGGGAGGAATCTGGGAGCTCTTGATTCATCTACATCATTTTTCTTTCTTTCTATATCTTCCTTGCCTATCGCCCTCTGTCATTCTACTGGTCAAGCACGATGCTTGTAGGCTACCTTGACCTCTATGCAGCCCCCTGACTTCTATCTGTATCACACGGGTACCTTAGTCAGTATATTCCAAGTTTAAATTCTTTGTGCAGTGTGGGTCCTCTCTCGAATATTTCATGCCTTTGAGGGAGGTGGGATAGACAGGCTGCTGCTGCAACCTCAGGCTTTTTCATTTCCTTGATTTCTGTTGTTAATATTCACTTTGGTTTCTCCAAATTTAGGCATTTCAAGGAAAATGTGAAAGCTGCTCTTGATTACCTTTGTAATAACTAGTTATGGAAATAATGCAGAATTCTGAATGCATGTCTCAGTACCTAAAAGGAACTGGTAAATGTTACTTAAGTGCTACAGGTTGCTTTTTATAACTGGTTGTCTGACTAAGTAGATTCATATAAATCTAAACCAATTCCAAAGTATTCTAGGTGAACGAAGAAGAACCTAATCCTACCTAGGATTTTTGTTTCATTACTGATAAGTGAAAAGTAGCTATAACAAAACAAGATATAATTAAACTAAGACCAGGCCCAACTATCCAGGTGCAATAAAACTGCAATGGAGTAAAAATACCACTCTTACATGGGTAAGGATTCCTTTATTTTGCTATCCAAAATTTCTTTGTACATTGCAGCTGACATCACCTCTTCCATTGGACACATGATGCCATAGTCCTCACAGCCATTCTCTTGAACCAAGGGGTCAGTTTTATGTGGATCAAACATAATGTTATTTGGTGTAACTAGCAGCACACCACTGACTGTGCCCTAAGGTGAGAAAAGAAAATAACATTTAATGTTCAAATATTTCAAAAAGTTTTCTGGCTATTGTTAGTAACTTTTTCCTGATGCCATGATATCCACTATGTCGAGAACTACCATATTCAAGCACTGCATTCTCATGAAAAAGTTTTTTAACAAAACCCAAACTTTCTCAGTGCAAGTTCTTCTCTTGGTAGAGGTAAATACAAAGAACATTATAGTCACTCTAAGACAATCAAATCAAGAATTACACCTGGCAGACTCAGTAAGAAAATGGGTCATATCAGGAACTGTGGTTTAAGAAGGGATGTAAAGTTTGGGAAGGCGTGAGTTATATTTACATTAATTTTCAACTTCTTCCTGTGATTTCCCTCCTTACAGATACCATATAAAATTTCCTGAATGTAAAGCAAGTTTCATAAAGTCTGTGTTGATAATCCAACCCACTGTGAAAGGGAAATATTATAATCTATTTTAAATATGTTTTTTCTAAAATTAATCTGTCTTTATCTGATTGCACTTCTATTTGATTTTGGGCAAGTTAAGCCTCTGGGCCTCTGTTTCTTTATCTGTAAAATTTGTTAGACAAGATGACCTTTAGTTTAGAAACAGTAATATTAATGTAATCATGAAGTGATTAAATGTTACATATATTTATACAAATAAACATTTCTGAAGATTCCACAGCTTTCATTTTACAGATAATGAAACCCACACTAAGCAAAGTCTACTCACAATAGTTATTAATTATTGAAACCTTTGTGTGTATATTATCTATAGGTCATTGTTCATTTGATTTTCACTTAGTTCTGAATTAAACATATAGATGGAAATAAAGGTTGAGATGTTAAATAACTTGCCCTTAATAATAAATAATATAGTTAATAAGTGGTAGAACCAAGATTCAAAACCCAGGTATATTTTTACTATAATTCACAGCTAAGTAACAATACTCATTCCATATCTACTGTCAAATATCCTCTATTCTCACTGAACTCCCCCTCTATTATATTATGTGAAATGTAAAAGAGTCCAACAGCGTTCTAAAAATAACCAAATTAATACTTCAAAGTTCTCTTCATCTTTTTCTCTGAAGCTACAGACAAGGAAACTTAGCTACCGATTCAGCTGGTATCATACCCTCCTAAGTCCATAGTCAGCTCTGTAAATTTACCTGGTTTAATTTTAGGAATATAAAACATTTGTATTTATGTTTCACACAACAAACAGAGTCAGTGAGAGATGGCAAAAGGTGTAGGGACATTTATATTGCTAAGAGTAAGACAAGAAACAGATAAATAGAGTAGAGCGTATACAGTGTGAAATACCACAAAAACTTATCTTTAATACCTTTATACATTTCAATAAATTCAGATTAATTGATAAATGAGTCTTTAAAAATTAGTAAGATGGGGCTGGAGCGATAGCACAGCGGGTAGGGCTTTTGCCTTGCACGCGGCCGACCCGGGGTTCGATTCCCAGGATCCCATATGGTCCCCTGAGTACTGCCAGGGGTAATTCCTGCGCGCAGAGCCAGGAGTGACACCTGCGCACCTGTGCATTGCCGGGTGTGACCCAAAAAGCAAAGAAAAAAAAATTGGAAGAATTAAGAAAAGCAAACTTCAGGTCACTCGTTTCTATAAATTTCAACTAAGCACTAGTTTTCAATGCTAATCCTTTGATTCACTGAGATTACAAATATCTTGAACTTTAAAATATTGTCACAAAAAATATTTTCACAAAGAATGATTACTAGGTATATAAAAGATCTATGTATTAGATACTTTTAATTGCTATGTATATTTATGTTATAATCTTAGCAGTATAATTTTAGAAATAATTTGAAAAGCCCCTCAAAAAGATGCTTCTGCTTCTCAGATTAGAAGTGTCTTCAGGCCATATTAAGACTATCTGATCTGCTGTTATTTTCGATCAAGGCACTCGAGCGGCTAGTAATTAAAAGCTGAATTGAAAGTTCTATGCCACCTTTCCTTTCTACGTTACCATTATTTCTGTTAACTGGAAATCTCTTAAGTCAACATAGTTGACCATGAAAAACTATTTCAACATAAAATTCAAAAAATGTATTAAAGCAACTTCTGAAACTCATGATAACATAAATTCAGACAAAGCATTTGTATTTTATTATTTGTTAAATCTCTCATGAATTTGTGTATATTATTAGGAATAAGAGCATTTTGTAAGAGCTTTCCAATTAGAGAATCCTCTTAATCTCCATGACCTTCATTAAATTCAAGCAAATATTTCTCTTTAAGAATGAATTCTAACACTGTACATGCAGCTAATTAGTCTTCTAAGAAATTGTTTCTGTTAAGAAAAATGTTTATTCATAAAATAAAGTTGCCATTTATATTACAGTACTTCTGCAAACACTAAAGGCTATGATTTGGTATTTCATTTTAACCAAGAGAAAAGTTTTAAAATATTTTTCCTTTTATCTCATTACAATGTAATAACTACAATTACTGTTGATATTATATTATTTTAAAATAATAGGTTATTACCTATTTACCTATTTACTATAATCAACCTGTAGGTAGATTGTGAGAAATTACAAGAAAGCATTTCTTCCTGCTTAGTTTTATTCATGCATTAGAATGAACAGAAGCAGGTTTTAGCAACAACAACAACAAAAAAATATGTTCCAGTAAAAGCCAACAAAAAAAATATGTTCTGCAAAAATCAGGTTTCAAGTCATTCTTAACCCTGCCTTTGATTTTGTATTTTCCTTGACTGCTAAATAAAATTTTCATTCAAAATGATTAAAACGGAACTTCTTTCAGTCAAGAATTAACTGTGTCTAAAACTATCTGTGTACATATGTGTGATGTGTACATGAGCGCATATGTTTGTATTTATAAGTAAAAAGGCTAGATGCCTCATGTATGTGTATATACACCAGTACAGAAAATAACTTTTTCAGACATTGGAATGCCATGCAGTGACACCTGAATATGGAGGAAATCAAAACAATTAAGATAAAATCATCAATTGCCCCAAATACTGAAAGGAGAGTTTCTAGGTTAAATACTCAAAGGAGAATTTCTAGGCTACAAATAGAAAACGAAAAGATAGATAAAAACTCTCCAGTAGAGCAAACCTAAAAAGCTCCTTTTACAAGCTTCCTGTTAAGTACTGATTATTACCTATGTTTATGGCAAATGTCTAAGAATCATGAAAAAAGCATTCGGAAGAGCAAGGAAAACAAATGCAGAATCCACAAAGCCAGGAACAGCTGGTATTCTTATTATCCAGAAACAAAAAAAATCTCATAATTTACAGAATCTCCAAAATATCTGGAGGTATTATTATTCTAGTAAAAGGAGAAAAACTAGGTGTACATGTAAAGCAGCTTGGATCCTAACAACATCATCACTGAGAGGATTAAGCAGTTTCTAAGAAATAACTGTGTCATGGGGGACAAAAAAAGGTAAAAGCTATGTACAGAGTTATAAAATACAGAGCACTGCCCCCACCGTAAAAAAAAAAAAAAGTCAACTAGTTATATGAGATCCAACTGCAAACTACAATATCTCATACAGTAAACTAGAATGGTACAATAAAAAGAGACCCACAAGAATAAGAAAAATCTATTAATCTGCACACAGATACAGAAGTGAGAGAAAAAAGAATTGGCTGGGAAATATAACTATACTCTATAACAAGAATATAGAAGTTTTGTGCATTGTGAGTAGGTGCCTAAGTATATAAAAATTAAACACATTACAGAAAATTAATTGCAAATACTCCATGGTAGAAAACAAAACATCATTCTGAAATGAACTTAAAAGATGCATCAATTAAAATTGTCCAAAATTAAAGGAGGGAAACAAAAGGAATCGGGTATTAGTGATTAATGAAACACAACACCAATCAGTGTAAACTATTCTTAACTGGAGTTTCTCACAAATGAGATAGTGAGAAAATATATTTGAAGGAATTATCACCAAAATTTTCTAAACTTGATGAAAACTATGCATTCACAGATCCAACAGTATGGATAAACCACAAGCAAAACAAAGATGAAAAAGACATCAGACACATCATAATGAAAGTGTTTATTATTAGTGATGAAGAGACCAACTTTGTACAACCAAAGGGAAAAAACTAATAGGCACATAACAGATGACATAAAAGAGAAGACCTGCTTCAGAAATGGTGTGAGTCAGAAAACAGGGGTGGGCCAGGAAACAACTGTAAAACTCTGAAAGAAAAGAAACTCCTGTCAACCTACAATTCTACATGTAGGAAAAATACCTTTCAAAAACAGGACATGCCAAAGATACACACAGCAAAAAGGCACATAAAATGATGCTCAGTACTTGAAGTCTTTGGGGAAACACAAATTCAACAATGGCTTATCTCTAAAGACCTACCGAGCATGGCTAAAATGTAAATAAATGACAGCCCTATATGCTGGCCAGATTGCATGTTCACAGCAATCCTCTATTTATTCAGATAAATGAGATAAAAAGATACAGTACTTTCGAAGTTTTGTTGTTTCTTACAGAATTAAGTATAGTCATACCAGAGATATAGCAATCACCTAATTTTTTACTCATTAATTACTAAAATGAGGTTAAAAACTTAACCTATACAAATCCTGCACATGAATGTTTATGCATTCTGAAAGGGCCATGGCCCTTTCAAAAAATTTTGGTGATATTCCAACCAAGATACCTTCAGTGAACAGATAAGATTGTTATTTCAGTTAGAAGCATTATTCAGCAATAAAAAGTTGTTAAGTTACAGAAAGACCTGGATATCCTTTTTATATACACACTATGGCCCTAATGTATGATCTCAACTATATGACACCCTGAAAAAGACCAAACAGCAAAACATTTAACAAGAAAAAGGTGAGAACTTCCTGGGGATCTGTGGGATGCTGATACTGGCAGAGGGCATAGAGGGTTTCTGGGCAGTGAAAATATTTCACGTGACACACTGATATTGGTTATATGTCATTATTCATTTTTCAAAGTCCAAAACTGCCCTGCAAAAAGAATGGAAATCCATTTTAACTATAAAAACATATGTTAAGAGTGAAAAAGATAAACCTGAAAATACTAACCAAAAGAAAGCTGAAGGAACAATTTAGTATCCATGAAAATATATATTATAGCAAAGAATATGGCTAAAAGAGGGATTTCTAATAATGAGATTAAGTCAATTCAGCAGAAAAAAAGAGAGCCATAAATATTTTTACAACAGCAATTTCAATATATCAAAACAAAAAAGAATACAACTTTGAAAGGAGACTTGGAGAAGCCCACAATTCTAATGAAAGATTTCACTTTACTGTTTCCCACTAATTAAGTCTTTAAAATATTGGTAACAGCAGTATTTGTATTCCATTGCCTTTAGTAATTTCAACAGATTATTATATTATAATAGGAATATTCCTAAACATGTAGAAATAAAACTAGAAATCAGCAACAAAAGCCAACCAGTAAACCCCCAATTGCTTGAAAACAAACCAAAGCATTATAAACTTTTTTTATCTTTAATTTCTTTTTTTTTTTTTTTTTGGTTTTAGGGTCACACTTAGCAATGCTCAGGGGTTACTCCTGGCTTTGTATTTAGGAATTACTCCTGATGGGGCTCTTGGGGACCCATCATGTAGGATGCTAGGGATGGAACTGGGGTAGGTTGTGGGAAAGAAAACGATACATTGTAATCATCTCCCTGGGCCCAAACTAAAGCACTCTTAAATATCCCCTGGGCCAAAGGAAGAAAAAAAATAGAAAGTACTGTGAACTGAATAAAAACATACCATCAAGAATATGGGATGTAGATAGAATAGTACCTGGGGAAACTGTGTAGTGCTAAGCACCTGTACATTCAAGCACTCACAATGTTTTAATTATGACTATAAAATAAGTATCCTGACTTCTACCAATCACATTACAGTTACTTTCAAAGTGATGCTTGGAGCTTATTTCCCAAGTTAGTTCTACTTTACTCCATTTGCTTTCCTGACTAGAAGTTTTTGCTTTAGAAAAGCCGCAAGGTAGGATAAGGGAAAGAGATTTAAACTGGTTTAGATTCTGACCATCACAAAAAAACTTTAAACACCTTAAAAACTTTTGAACCTTTCCTGATTTTTTTCCTTATGAGGAAAGAACAAATCATGTGTTTCACAACATTATTCTAAACTAATACAATTATTCAAATCCCTCTATTGGTTTCTAGCATATAGTGGGTATTCAATAAAGAACAGTCGAGTCTGTTCAATAAAGAACAGGGCCCCTCCCTTTTGCCTTCTATATTTTAAGCCCAGAAGTAGTCTAGTAGCTTTTTTTTTATTTTATCAGCTTTAAAAAAATATTCTATCACGAGCAAATCAACAGTATACCATTGTTCTAAATTTACTTATATCCAATTATCTGTAACAGATCACCATACTAAGACCAAGGCCTACACTAACCTAAACTAACAGTTCTGCCAATATTTTTCTCTCAAATATCCAAGCACTTGCTGATGTTGATGACTTAAAATGAAAATGTCAAGCTATTGTATTTTAGTACTAGACGGCATTACATTTTCTCTGGAGTGTTATTTATTACCTTCCCACTGGTAACATATTTGCAATTAATTTTAAGAAACTTTTCAGTAAATGCTTCTTCCTCCTCAGATGTTGAAGATACTACTCGTGCAGGTCGAGTGCCAGTTACAGCAGATGCAGGAGTTACTTCTTTTGGCTGGACTACATCAGGATTCTTTAAGAGAAAGAAAGAAAAGCACTTTGGAGAGCTAAATAATAAAAAACGCATTTATATAAAAGTCAAATGAACAGCGTCCCTTAAAACATACTGCTTTTTCTCATCACATTCCAGAGATCAGTCCAAAAAGTTTTACATGTATAGGGAAGGTATAATCCAAATTTGTTTTAATGTACAGGGAATAGTGTCACTTTTTTTCCCATATTCAGTAAGAATCTCTAAAACAGCTTAACTTTATATATGGTGAAAACTATATGCCCTGCACTCTCAAAATCGATCTCTCTCTCTCTCTCTCCCCCGGACACCCCGAATGAAATAAAGGACACATTAGGTGAAAAACATGTCTATGCTACCTATAAATTCAGCAGAACCCATTCACTGGAAGATTCTTTCGAGAGTCTTAGGCTAGAAAGAGTTTATAAATACATTAATATCAAGTATTAATTATTTAGATCACAGGGTCTTAATATTTTTTTTGTCATGGCTAGTGAGTGAAGCCTATGGGCTTGTACCTCAGAACATTTTTGAATACTTACCAAAACAAAACAATCGTTAAAAACAAGTTACATTTAATCAAAATTATCAAAATATTTCATTGGAATATACTTATATATTAATACATTAAAAAGAAAGACCCAGTGTTAGCTCTGGTAAGTATTATCATAAGAATCATCCCATGTAGAGTATTTTGGGTCATATTTGAGATCAGTGGTGTCAATGCTGGTTCAAAGGTCCAGCAACTCCCTTGTTTATTCTATGGGCTCCTTCTCTTCATAAACAATACAAAATAACAAAGTACATTTTTACATAGGAGGAGGTCAGTCCTTGATGCTCTCTTGAACTGCAGCACTCTCTTACTTTTGAAATTATGTCTTTCAACAAAACCAATTTATAGGCGGATTTGGGTTAAAGCCAAGAGGCCAGGAAGGCCCCACAGATTTGTAGTCATGTTACAACTGAGTCTTTTAGAAACAGTTTACACAACTGTGCATATTTTTGAGGTCGAATGTCACCAGGCCCCAAGTCCAACCAAGGTACCGATAGGACTCCAGCCTCCGCCCCTGCCCCCTCGGGACCGCTCACTCCCTGCCCTCAGTCCCAGAGCCTGTTCACCACCTTGCTTTGCTTCTCCATTTCCTTCTCCATTTTCCTCAGAGGGGAAAGACCATCCGCTATGTCTCCCTCCACAATTGCTGTCTGGCCTTCTATAACGCTCCTTTAGGATTCCAAGCAGGGTATATTAACCCAAGGTGGAACTGCCTGCCTGTGTCATTTTCCTGAATGAGTAGATGTCTTTAAGTCCCATCGGAAAATGGCATGGCTCTGATGAAAAAGATATTCTTACATCATCTGGCCAGGCACAACCTGTCATAAGAACATGACTTCTTTTCACATCAAGATAAAGGTAAACAAAATTTGTTCTTTTCCTGTGACTGCAATCTCATATATATATATATATATATATATATATATGTATACACACATATGCAGATATATATGTATTAATATATGATATTCGACAAGATTTGGAAAGGACTTCTTTTTCTCCTTCTCTGACACAAATTTACAAATATAAAGATATAGAAGTCATGGCCCCCCCCCCAAAAAATTCATGGCTAATGAGAAAAATAGTTATCAACAAACTTACACTCTCCACTTTATAAAGTAAAACTATTGTGTTACCAGAAACTAAAAATGCCTAGTTTGTCAGCAAATTACAAGAATAATTTGTGGTATTGTTACCAGTTTGTCACTGATAATCCTAAACTCTGAGTGCAAATTGAGGCAAAGAAAAATGTCTCCTAAAGTCATCAAAGCATCAGAAAAGGATACCCCACAGGAGCCCGCCTTTAAATGGATAAAATCTTTACATAGAAACACACTAATTTGGCCATAATGAAATGGGAAAAATATGGTTAGCATTAATTTACATAAAAGGGCACAAAAACAATTTCAGAAAAATTTTAATAAAAATCATTTAAGCATGGTTATTTAAAATTCATTTGAAAAATTAACTTAAAAAGAACATTCGTTTCCTAAATGCTAAACAAAATCCCATTATTAGTGATGTTAAATTATCTCAAGAATCACTAACATGACAATAAATCTTTGGAAGAAATCATGTCAAAGATGAACTCACCTAAGAGTTAATGGTTTAAGAGTCTAAACTTGAGTGTGGACTTCCTATCACAAAAGCTTATCCTTCTGAGGAAAACCATTAAATTATATGGTATTTATAGAGCTGATGAGTATCTTTGAGCCAACAGTACCTATCAATAGTAAGTCAATTCAAGCTATCTAATTAAGAATGCTTCACTTTGAAAAATGTAATTTACAAAATCAAGCAACAAAATTAAAAGGTAAAATTTCAATTTAACCACAATCAAAGTGGAAAAAAAAAAGCAGCAATCACTGCTAGTGATGTTTTTCTGGAGCAATCTTTGGAAAGCAGAGAAACTTACAGTGGTCTTATCAATTTCAGCCTCTGATGATGTTGGTGACAGAGGGCTCACGGGACTCAGAGATGGTGAGCTCTCAACACTGGACACATAGTCAGGATCGGGGACATATAAGACCTGAAAGAAAAGGTTCACACAGATTCAGTCACACCAAAATGTTAATAATCAGATGATGTCTCACATTAAAATGTGTGTTAACGTGATGGTTCTAGTAAGGTTAAAAAAACTTAATTGTGACAAGTTTGATTATAGGGTATTCCTTTTAAAGGACAATTTGGCAACAGAGAGCAAAATTAAAATGTACATTACATCAGCTGCATAATCAATTTTCCTAGGAGTTTACCCTATAGAAATGACTGCACATAAAGGAAAGGGGTTAAAAAAGTGCTCACTTCAACAAAGCAAGTGGGTGAAAATACTTGAAAGCTTACTGTGTCTAAACTATAATTTATCGTACAGTGTAACTCTTATTATACACATGATAGTCTGAGATCAAACTGCTTAAATAGAACTTTTTCCATGGGTCACAGATTTTTTTAAGTATTACTTGTAGCTATGACTTCTTCTGGCAAAGGAAATTAGATGACTGGGACATAATACGTTTTAAAAATGTTTGGACTTTTCCATGGATATGTGCTACCTTAATATTCTTAAAAGTCCCTTAAGAATATCTGTAAAAAGTTCATAATTATTTAAAATATGTATTAAGAAAAGAATCATGGATATAAGTATCAGTTAGTTTTCTTTTCAAAAGTGGTATAAGCCTGGCCAAAGTAGTCATAGATTATTCCTCTCAAATTTTCTGTATTATTAATAATGCTGCAAAGAAAACTTTCCATTTTACTATTAAACACAATACATGAAAAAAGATACCTGTCCAGTAACAACTGCTCGGGAGAATAACTTATTTAATTGAACAAGTTCGTTGGGTGTTGTATCAAATTTCAATGCTATACTATTCAAAGAATCCCTTGATTCAACCTGTTTGAAAGGAAAAAAAAAAGTATTATTTCAATCCACTAAAGTAGAAAAACTAAGCTTTGAGGTTTAATTATTAAAGTATACATAAACCAATCTCACATGTAATATCAAATAAAATGCGTTGCCTGGAAGACAAAATTTGTTTTGTTAGCAAATATTGTTAATAAAGAGTTTCAACCTATTATGGTATCAAATACGTAATTTATAATAACAACACATTACATGTGAGCCTACAGTTTATGCAATTTCACAATATAACATGTAATTACAAAAACCATAATTTATATTCTACAAAAGCTTTACAACTATTCTATATTCCTTTAAATGGTTTCTAAAACATAACTACCAGAAACATACTGATTTCATTTTACCAAAGGGTGTCTATTTTTGGTTGTTTTTTGGGGCATGCAGGACATACCTAACAATGCTCAGAACTTAACTCTGGTTCTGTACATACATTTTTATTATTTTAACTTTAAATAAAATATGGTGTAGGAGGTCTGGAAATACACTGAAGCCAGACTACAAATATCTTAGGGAACCTGTGAGTATGTTGTCATATTAAAAGTCTTATTCTGAAAGGAAAAGGAAAATACTTATTTTTCTAAATACAGAACCATGTTATATATTTTTATAGACATTAAAAAGATTTTACAAATGTTACATAAAGATCTCACAAATCTAAAAATAAAGGACAACATCATATTAATTTGAGAATGCAGGCCCGAGAAATAGTCCATTGGAATCAGCACTGAAAAGTGCACTGGAAGCAGCCAACACTGGTCTGAGTCCCAGTATCACATATGATCCCTGAATCCACCAGGAGTGATCCCTGAGCAGGCTGCCAGAAGGAAGCCCTGAGCGCACTAGATGTGGCCAGAAAACAAATGTTGCTGGGGATATGGCTCAGTGCCAGGGTGCAAGAGTCAGAGTCAACATGGGTGAGACCCTAGGTTTGCTCCCCTAAACCCCCTCCTCACATACATAAATACATTAAGAAAGGTAGACAGATTAATTTGGCATAAGGAATAAACAAATGATTAAAAAATAAAAGTCAAATTCAAATAAAGACCTGCAAAGGATGTTCTGTAACTTTTATGATCAATACTCCACTATCTCATTCTAAAAGCACTGAACATATGAAGAGACAATAGTTTCTTTCAATTTTGGTTACTCTTCTCCTCAAATAACACTTCTTAAATTTACATTTAATTTGGCTATAGACACAGCGGTAGGGCGTTCGCCTTACACGCGGCCAACATGGCCGACCCGAGTTCGATTCCTCCGCCCCTCTCGGAGAGCCCGGCAAGCTACCGAGAGTATTCGATATGCCAGACACAGTAACAACAAAGTCTCCAATGGAGACGTTACTGGGCCCGCTCGAGCAAATCGACGATCAACGGGAGGGCCTTTACCTTTACCTATAGACTACAGGTACATCATTTTGCAAAATGATAATTAAGACTTCTTGATTTCTCAATCATGGGGAGAAGCACTTAATTTATGATTATAATACGATTTAAACTGAGATTTTTTGATACTGATAAATACAATTCTATCTTAAATTATTTGGCTTCTGCTGATTAAAAATTTGTTAAGAAACTCACATTGTAAGACAGAGAGCTAGTATAAAAGGTAAGGTGCTTGCTTTGCATGAGACAGGCCTCATTTAGATACCCAGCATCACATATGATCCCTTGGACACCAACAAGAATGACCCTTTAACCATAGAGCCAGGAGTATGCTCCACGCACCTGGTATGTCTCTCAAAAATAAACTCAAATTGTCTATTACAGAATGTCTGTACGTGTGTGTATGCACATATTACAGTAAGGTTGTAATTTTCTCAATTTGAAGGATTCATGGAAAATAAATAAGATTCCAGTCAAGGCTGTAGAATTTCATGAGATACTGAATTGTTTTAAATTGCTACATAGCTTCTTAATAATACATAAGAAAACCACCCCCCGAAAAAAAAAGAACTCCCACAAAACTAACTTCAGTTAAAATAACTGTTGTTTAACACAAGTTAACTATCTAAAGAAATAGTGTTTACATTCAACAGATAAGCAGTATACTACAGACTGGAATTGATTTCTTACTTCAGTTTCCCATAGTAACCAGAAATGGAAAATGCTGAATGCAGGGATGTTTGACAGTCATTTCAAGAACACATTAAAAAGCCATATTTTCAGAGCAAAATAACTACATCTATAAGTCAGTACAAAATGAGTTTATTCTGCAAGATATTTCTTAATTCTTATAGCAACCTATTTCTTAATTCTTCTGTCACTACCATTATCATTAGCACTGTAGCACTGTTTTCCCATTGTTCATCAATTTGCTTGAGTGGGCCCAGTAACATCTCCATTGTGAGACTTGTTACTGTGTTTGGCAAATCAAATACGTCACGGGTATCTTGCCAGGATTTGCCATGCAGATGAGATACTCTTGGTAGCTTGCCGGGCTCTCTGAGAGGGGTGGAGGAATCGAACTCGGGTCGGCCGTGTTGGCCGCGTGCAAGGCTCTACCCACTGTGCTATCACTCCAGCCCATCATTAGCCCTACTGGTAAATAATAGTTTTTTAAAAAGCTAGGTATTTTCCTAAAAATCTAATGTCATAAAAATTATAGCATAGGTATTCTGACTCCCAATAAATGATCAACTATACTTTATTTTCTGGAATAATCTTTGCTTTACAATAAAATTTTTTTCAGAAAAAATCAATTAACAACTAAGAAATGAATATTAGTTCATGAAAGTGAAGTACAGACTTACAAGTGCAGTTAAAATCCATGTCTTATTTATAGATAAAAGATCAATTTTTTTAAAGATATAAATATAAGTCTTGTAGAAAGCACATAACTTACAGTATATTCAAGAGTTCCTTTAGGTTTCTGAAAAGACATTCTTCTCCCATCTTTCTTGTCTAGGTTCTTCTTTTGGCCAGTGTCTAAAGAAAAATTAGGCAGAAATCCCATTAAACTCATTTCCTTTTTTTGAACAATGTCGACGATTACTAGAGATCATTGACCAGATAACCTAATCCATCACAATTTTTTGTTCAAGGTTCTCTGCTCCAAAAGAGTTCTGAATTAAACCCCCCAGATTTAGTGACACTTAACCTATGACAAAAAGCTATGCATATGAAGTGGAACAAGGAAATGTTGGGAAAAGTGGATGGTCACAGGTGAAAAATGAAATCAGAACCAAACATCACATCATTCACAAAATTAAATTCAAAGTGGATTATAAACATCAAGATTAGAACAGACACTACAAGATACATCGAAGAAAACATCAGTAGAACTCTTAAGGAAATTGACAAGAGTTTTCAATGAGATATCCACAGTGGCAAAGACAACAATAACAAGAATAAACAGGACTACATCAAATTATGATTTTCACACAGCAAAAGAAAAACTCAACCTATTAATAAAAGGCACCCTACAGAATGAGAGAAAATACTTGCACATGATACCTTAAAGAGCTGATAATCAAGAACTATAAAGTACTCACAAAACTTAAAAGCAACAACTAAAACAAAATGAAACAAAAAACAAACCAAGGACTCTATCCACAGATGGGGCAAAGGTGTTGAACATACACTCCAAAGACATATGAAAAAGGTATATAAAAAAGTGCTCATTTGGAGCCAGAGGGATAGTAGAGTGGGTAGGATGTTTGCCTTGCACACGGCCAACCCAGGTTCAATCCCCAGCATCCCATATGGTCCCCCAAGCACCGCCAGGAGTAATACCTGAGTGCAGAGCCAGGAGTAACCCCTGAACATCACCAGGTGTGACCCAAAAAGGAAAAAAGAAAAAAGAAAGAAAGAAGTTCACCATTACTCAGGAAAAACAAATCAAAACAAGACTGAGAGATGTCACACAATAGCACAGATCAGTGTTAGAGGGGTCGGGTGAGATAAGAGCCCTCCTCCACTGCTGGTGGAATGTATTCTGGCTCAGCTTCTCTGGAAAGCAATATGGCAGTCTCTACCAAAATAATAGGACTATAACTCCCCAGTCAGCTAGCAATACACCACCTCTTGGCATCAATCTCTAACACAAACCAACCAAAAAAACCCCAATTAATTCAAAGGATATATGCATACCTATCTTCACCACAGCATTTAATACCCAAGACTTAGAAACAATCAAAATGCTCAACTGCAAATGAATGGATCAAGTTGTGGCATATATACACACAACGGAATATAATTTTGATGCAACATGAATAGAAAGAGAAGACTCAAGCTCAGTGAAGTTGGAAGGAAAGGAATAGATACCGAATCATCTCTCTCATATGTGGGACTTAAGATACATAGCAAGGTAGCAATAAAGGGGAAAAGGCGATACACAGAAGTCCGTGGGGGTAAGGGCTAAAAGGGAGGGGAGTTTTGTAATCATTACTAACAGATTATTGTAAATCACAGAACCTCAATTTTTAAAAAGTTATTAAAAGGGACGGGGGTTATTTCTCCTCCCAGCATACATTTGAAATTGACCACTAAGAAACACTATATAAACAAAGTCAATTCACATATAAATGACTATCAAAAGAAATTAAGTTTTAAAAACTAAACCAGGGGTCTCTTCTTTCAATACATCCAACTGGATTACAAACTCAAAAACAATTTAATCTGCGTGGAATTATTTTTATTCAATTCCTAATTTATAAACCCTGAAGTGATTGTTCTCATATATAAACATATTTGGGGATATTTCAATCCAGTTTAAATACCAATTATTTCTCTCTAGCTTATCAAGGCATTTCACTCAAATATCATCAACAGTAGGAGAACCGTTTTCATTTAAAGTTTGCATTTTATATTAGTATTACTTTCTCATTTATACTTCACATAAAGTCCACACTGACTAGAAAAACATCACTCTAACATTTAAAAACTGCTGCATACTGGGTGCTGGAGAAGACAGTACAGTGGGTAATGGGCTTGCCTTGCATGTGCCTGACCTGGGATCAATCCACAGCATCCCATATGGTCCCCCGAGCACCACCGGGAGTAACTCCTGACTGCAGAGCCAGGAGTAACCTCTGAGCATTGCTGGGTGTGAACCAAAAGGCCCAATAAATAAACAAATAAAAGTTAAAAAAAATTATTCATCACCTTGTATGAATCTGCCCTCCAAATTAATTAGTCCCCTGCCCCCAGAAGCTTTTAAAAAACTGTTCAAAAGTCTCCTGATAAACCAGGTCAACTTAAATCTGTTACTACAATATCTTCATCATTTTTTGTTTGATTCCACCTTTCCTATGTTCTTTTCCAAACAGCACATTTGCTTTACTTCATACTGCCTTCAGGTACAGACCAAGGAACTGACCCAAGGTAAGCACTTTGAGTCAACATTCAAAAGCAACAACTTAAACTAGATCTACCACTGTAGCACTGCCCTCCCGTTATCGATTTGCTCAAGCAGGCCCAGTAAAGTCTCCACTGTTAGACTTGTTGTTACTGTGTTTGGCATATTGAATACGTCATGAGTAGCTTGCCAGGCTTTGCTGTGGGGGCGAGATTTTCTTGGTAGCTTGCCAGGCTCTCCGAGAGGGGCAAAGGAACTGAACCAGTCTTGGCAGGGGCTGGCTATGCACAAGGCAAACGCCCTACCACTGTACTAATTCTTATAATTATAATGTTAAAATTCATCAAATATATACAGAATAATGGCTCATTATTATATTTTAAATATTTAAAGGGCTATTAAAAACAAGGGGGGAAATCTTAGATTTAAAAATATGGGCAAAACAGAAAATTAATTCCCAAGAAATAAAAATGGACCTTACATAAAAATATAAGGTACCATTTTTAAACTATCTGACCAAGCAGTAAAGTTCAAAAGCTTAATCATACAATTTTAGACTTCAGAAAGTCTGTGCTTATGATGTTAATTCAATTATTTTATGGAGTGAAATATAATTTTTGTTTACAAGTATATTCTAATTATTCTTTATTGAATTATATATTTTTAAATTTGAAAAAAACGTTATTCTAAAATAAAATCCTAAATAATTTATTTCTAGTCTATGAACAGCAGGGGGAGCCAAAACTTCCCTCATTTTGCAATTTGTTTAAGCAATAAAATACAATTAGAAATTACTCTTAATAATATACATCACTTAAATGATTTTAGCAATAACCATTCATTTACATTTACTTGTTTACATTTACATTTGCTTGCCAAAAATTTTCAAGCTTTATTTCATAATATCCCAAGAGTTTATTAAACATTTAATCATAATGAAGTATAAAATTGCTCTAGTATTTTCCACAGTTCAATTTTGCAGTGCAATCAGAGCAAGAAAACCATATGCCAGCTTTCTACAGTTTAAAGTTTGAAACAAATGGAAAATATTTAATAATTTAAAAGTATACAACTACTTTGTAAAAATTGCTGTTATTAAAAATAGTTCCAACATAAAAAACAATATTAAAACATTCATCCAGAAACAAAGAGTACCAGGGCACAATGACATCAACTGATCACTCTCCTATGTCCCATGGAAATACAGTCACATAACCACAAGAGCTGGAAGTGAACAGTTATCACCTGGCAGAACTCTTTCTGGGGACCTTCAGAATGCCCTCGTCACAGATAACGGCCAGCAATCCATGGCGTACAGTAAACACAGTGGATTACAGCACCTACCCTGCAAGGAGACAGTCACCAAGTTCGAGCTCTCACCTATCCAGGGCCTAAGTGCTCTGCTGTCTGTGCTCCCTGACACCACAGCGATTTCCCGCTTCACTGCAGTCAGGTGTGTGTAAGCAGTACAAAAGCGTGCAACCCCCAGCATGCACTGCAACCAAAAAAGATGTGCAAGAACTGGGGTCAGCAACTGTGGCCACTGGAAAGAGCATGTGAGCAGCACTAGGATAGGGCTGGAGCAGCACTCCACCATTTGCATGCCTCAACTAAGCAGATGCCAGCACGACCTCTACAGAGCATGGGTGCGAGCACAGTGGAAGGAGCAGCTGTGAGCATCGTGGTCAAAAGTGCAAGCACCACAACCTGCCGTGAGATCGCTGGCAAGCACCACTGCTTGTAAGGTTATTTAGTTTTACACTCCCTATTTCTCCTTTCTAAGGAAACCTCTGGGTAATTTCACAGGGGTTAGAACTCTAAGTTGGCCTTTTAGTTTTTTGTTGAGACGTCTACTGCAAATTTTTCAGCAACAGGGGGGAATGAAGAGAGGAGTGTAAGGCATGTAGCTTGGCCTCAGTTTGATCTCTTCTACACTGCATGTGGTCGCCAGAGCACCACAGGGTTGCTTTTGAGCACAGAGTCAGGAACAGCCCCTTAGCACCACTGGGTGTCTCTCCTCCACCCCCAAACCTTAAGGCTACGTCATGGACTATCGAAATATATTTACATTTTTCCATGTTTACTGGGATTTACTTTGATTCACTAGGAGATTGTAGGAATAAAGGTGTGCGATTCTGAATTACTATACACAGATGTCCCAAATTAAGTTATAAGCAGATAATTAACAACAGCAATTCAAGAACTTTCAATTAAAGTTCAATTTCGGTTCTAGAAAGGAATAGGAAAACTGAAAGGGAAAAACAAGCATAGAAAACAATAATAAACAGAGAGGCCCAATTTACTAAGACCCTCCTAACATAATGGAATATTATCATTTTGGTAGTAGGCACTAATAAATCCTCCTACAGAACACACTACAATGAAATCTCTCTTACCGATTCACTTAACCTGCCCTGGCAAAGGAGAATAAGTGGCAAATTTTATGGGGTTTTCAATTTTACTGTATTTTATCTTAAAGCAGCATTCAACAAACAATTCCTTCTCCATGCTCATCTTTCCTTTAATTTAATAACAACTCATATTCCTATTATCTGCTACCCATTATTTGTTCCTGTTCCTCTTTAGATCACCTTCCCTCTATCTACACAAGGATTTTTGTGTGTTGGGG